GGACCTTGAGGATAACAACTCTCCTTAAAATAGTATTGACCATGTGGAGATCCTTTCCTACTGTAGTACTGGTTCCCTTGGGTAGGGAAGAGGCACAATTTCACCAAAGTACTACAGGGCTCAATTCTTTATCCTACTACTGGAGCAAATATGTGAAATAACTAGGGATGGCCAAGCATCAGTTTGAGGTAAGGTATCATTACATTTTCATACCAGTTTAAGAGGACTTTGGAGACTGTGGTTTTGAGCAGAGGGCCTGGGGTGGGGGAGCTAAATTGCTCTGTTGCTTTCTGCTCAATACAAACGGTGGATTCAGGTTTCTGTGCTCAGTAGAATATGGGTCTCTTATCAAATGTGAGAAGGAAAAGGCCGTATATGTGCTTATTATGGATAAAAACATGCATTGGAAAAGTCCTGAGACAATGCCTTCTTTACTAGTCATAGAGATCTCTTCAGTTCATTTCAAACTGGCAGATTCTGCTGGAAATTTCTTAACCACTTTCCCCTTACTCTGTCATCACAATACTGAAATGTACTTGAATACTGTAGATAGTAATAATAAGGCAAATTTACAAGCAAGTACTAGAGTCCATAACACCAGACCCATAGCATCACTGGAAGGCAAAATCATGAAACTGCATCTCACTTATTTTGACAGTCATATGGGGGAATTCATTGGAGAAACCAATTATGTTCAGAAGAGTTAGCAGTAAAAGGAAACCACTCCGCCAAAGAACATTGTTGCTGGACATCATCAACGCTGACGACAGACAGAGCATAGAGAAACTCAAAGAAATAGTGCAAGATCAGAGGATGTGGAGAGACTTGGTCATAGAATAGCCAGGAGTCGGACACAACTGAATAGATAACCTCATCAGAATCATCATCTTCAATAAGGCAAATGAGACAGCAAAATCATATTTCTATCTCCATTACATCCATTCTCATAAGGCCACTCAGAAGTGGCATATTTTGTATAATAATAACTTTGGCTAGTTTAAAATATGTGTATGGTTCCATCTGAAGAAGAGTTAGCTGCCCTTACAAGCCACAATTACTAGGACCTAACGTGTACCAGAAGAACAAAAGCATGGGTACTTTGTAGAGGCTGGATCTTTATTCTGGACTGTGTGAGTCATTAAAAGTTGGGACCAAGGGTGAAATTCAGCAGGTTCTGACAGGTTTTGGAGAATCAGTAGCAGAAACTTTGAGTAGTCCAGAGAACTGGCAAATACCGTCTCTGGCTGGTCCCAGAGGGGGGTGGGAATGGAGATTTTGCAGTATCCTTCCCCTGCCATACCCACCAAGCCATTCCTACAGAACTGGTAGTAAAAAAAAATTGAATTTCACCACTGGTTGGGACATCTATTTATGTGGTTATTGTTTTGATCTTTCAGTAGAGAGCTTTCTCCCTCCTGCAGATTGTATTTAAATAGATAGCAGTAAGGAGGCAACTATTACAGGAATTGTAGATTCCTGATTTAGTTTGTTTGCATAAATGGAAAGGAAGAGTCCTCTTCATGTAATCTTCCTGCTTCCCAGGTTTAAAGCTGTTAGGAAAAGGAAAAGAAGAGGATTAGCCTGTTGCTAGACCCTTTACAGCTAGTTATATGAAAAGTGAAGTATGTAAATGAAGCCCATGCTTAGATCTGTTGTGTCAATATGAATTAAACCAATACAGAGACTTGATCTGAAGAATTAATTTAAAGGATGACTCTAAAGAGCTCCTCTTCTTAATGGTTTGTATGTGGAATAAATTTACTCTTCAGGAAAATCAGACGTGGATGCTTTAGGGCTGTTTTGAAATTGACTCTTGGGCTAAAAAAATTGCAGGGACACTGTATTATTGTTTAGGCAGTATTTGTGGTGGCTTTAAATTTTCATTGATTCATTTTCGAGGTTGAACAGACCTCAGTTGCAAAAGTTGTTCTTAGCCTAATTAATTTAATACTTTTGTATCTACAGTAAAATAGTAACAGAGTTGGAAGGTACCTTGAAGGTCATCTAGTCCAACCCCCTGCTTGCGCAGGAGACCTGTAGTAGGGATTCAAACCACCGAACTGTGTTGGAAAACTGATAGTTCTTCCATTAGGAAGAGCGAATTTGATATGGAAAAGAGGCAGAAGCAGCCCCTGCCTTTCTTGAATCACTGCCATTTTCCATCTGTTGGGGGACAGAGTTGTAAATATTGTGAACCCCCTAAACTAATGTTCTGACCTTAGGTGCACTGGAAGATAACTGTCCTCTTACTGGTTGCAGTTCAGTTCACTAATGTGCACGGAGGGATGCCAGCTTACCTGTTGCCAATCTTTGGCACAATAAACGTAAGAAGATAAGCAATGATTACAGGAACAGTTCCCAATCATGGTAAATTCCTGCAATTATTGAACTATCACTATGGGAAAAAATAATAATAATTGCCATCCTGCATTAGCAAAATTGGCCTCCATGAAATAAGCTACATTCTCCTACTAACATTACTGTACAGTTTGGATTACATGTAGTTTATTATACTCATAGTATGATTTGGAGCCGAACAACTAGTAGTAAAATAAATTGAAGGTATAATTGCTTCCACCTAAATATAAAGAGATGAGTGATTTGGTAGCCAGAAAGTAATTTTTATAATACAGTGAACCTTTGATCTATTAGTCCTCAGTTTAGCAAGCTTTGATGCAATGGATAAAACCTGTGCATGGATCATTTTCCTTTTTATATATGCATAAAGTTCCATTCAGGCTTAATGAGCACTCAGCTTTAACTAATACCTCACAACTGTCTGTTATTGTTTGTATCTTTCCACTACCGGCTCGAAGCTTAGCCATATGAACAGTTGACCAGATAGTTTTAAATTTTAATTTTTTGAATGAAATTTCTAAAGAACAGTGGTTTTCAGAGGGGGTATTTGAGGCAAACTCACTTCAAACAACTGGTCATTGGATTATACGGTTGCCAGACTGTACCAGATTATTTAGCAATAAACATTTGAGTTTATAGAACAGGAAAAGCTTCTCAGATTTGACATGGCTTAGATCAGTTGATTGTTGCAAACAGAAGTGATCTGTTGTGTATATGTGTGCACACGCATGTGCACATGCATACATCCTTACATTTGCTTTTGTGTCAATCACACATGCAGATAGGCAAAGAAGATCTGGGAACATGTATGTGTCAGTGTCAGAGTTTAAATCCTAGCCTTTTGCTCCTGTTTCTTTGAGTCATGGTATATTGGTAATTCTTTTCCTAGTCTTGAAAATTGTAGATATCTACTCCTTTTTTATATTAATATGTCTGTCTGGCATCTCCGATTCCTGCTTCACTAGCAGTAGACCTCATAGGGGTTATTATTAGACAGCCACTAATGTAAGCTGATTGTATTGCATTTAGCTGCAGTGAATAAATGGGGCAGTTTTTTGTAGATTTAACCTGTTATATGTTCACTACCTAGATAGAAATGTCAAGCGTCTGCAGATGTAATAGATAAGTAGTGTCATTTTATATTTATTTCTGAGGAATTCAAAAAATTAGTGGTTATGAAATTGACTACCAAGTTCCAGGCAGAATATTTCCATTCAGTAAGAGCAAAATGTTTCTTTCTACTAGATCACATATCCAATGAATATTATAAAATTAGACGGTGGGGGAAAATATTTTTTTCTTGCCCCCTGCGAACTATTCAAGTTCTTGTGTTTAGCATAAAGAATGAAAATTGTAATGAGTTAAATGATTACAGCAAAAGAAGAAGGGGATGACAGAGATTGAGGTGGCTGGATGGAGTCACCAAAGCAGTAGGCGTGAGCTTAAATGGACTCCAAAGGATGGTAGAAGACAGGAAGGCCTGGAGGAACGTTGTCCATGGGGTCGCGATGGCTCGAACATGACTTTGCAACTAACAACAACAAATGATTACAGTTGACAAGGAAATAAATGGCTTCACATTTGGCCAAAATTGATCAAAGGACTAATCGCATACTACAGTACTTTTAGGATTTTGACGTCAGTGCTGTCAAATGGAAGATTAGCTGAGATGTATCTTATTGCTTGTTTATCATGTGGAGTAAAAACTTCAGTTTAGTTTTTTAAAAAAAGCCCAACTGAAGCATTTAACAAATTGAGTTTGACAAACTGCCTCTGTTCATACAGATTTGCATAGCTGATGTTATAACAGGATTGATCTTTTGTCATTGTTGTTTTTATTATTTGCTAATGATCATGTAAGGTATGTAATTTTACCTCTTAAATGCATTGCTTTTCCATGTTAATTTTTCTCGATCAATATTTAAGTATTAAAGAGACATATTAGGGCATAGGCTGATAATGAATACTCCCAATATATTAATCAGTGATACAAAACATCTGGAAAGCATATAATCCAAATTATAATTGTTGTTAGATTTGCAGAGCCAAACAAAACAACCCAAACAAAAAAAAGTACACCGAAGAATCTGAAAAAATTAAAGTTATGTACAGAATTATTATACTGCAATGTTAGGAAATCAGTAGAGAGCATTTTTGTTTCTCAGTAAATAATCATGATCAAGATTCAAGATTCTCCCCCTATACCATCACACTTTCTCTTACTCTGACTTCCCTAACATTTATATTTAAATTTTAATAGAATTTCTCCCCATTTGATAGTTGTAGATTTAATTCCCCTTTTTAATATGGAGAAAGTACAGTTCTCTGTCCTTATTCATCAAAAAATATGCACTAACTCTTTCTCCTCATAATTTTAATTCTAGAAAGATGTTTGTTAGCAGTATTTCAATGTTTATTATGATTCTCATATGAACTAATTAGTCAGGCTATATCAGTTTATGAGATCTTTTGCAAAATAAGGTGTCTGGTTCCTTATATCTTTATATTTTGTCTATAGGTTGTAGGAACAAGTAGAATGAGTTAATTATCTAATGCTATGTTTTTGTATAATGTAATCATTTAGTGTTTATTTTATTGTGTGTACCTTCTACTCAGAGGGTTGGCATTATTGTTCCTAACAGTGATGGATACAAGCAGATCATGCCCTATGACCTCTACCATCCTCTTCCTCGGTATGTAAACCAAATACTCTATTTAGAAAATATAAGAAACTGTTTTTTGTGTGTTTTATTGGCAAGCTAACAGAGTGATAATCATTCACCAGCCAAATGTTCTTATTCTGGTGCTTTTTCTGCATTGTTTTCTGATTTTCTTTACAATTCAAGCAAAATATGACTTTCTTTTGTCCTAAGTATTCATACAGAATAATTGTTCATGACACAATAATAAAGAGTTTTTTTCTCTCCACTGGAAAGTTCACATGAAACTAAGATAAAATTTCATAGTCTTCCTCCCTATAATACAGCGTGGATAAATTTGCTAAGTGAACACTTGCATTTTCATTGGATTTATCTTCTTAGTTGCATTTGTAGTCCAGTCAAAAATGCATTTAATGACATTTTCATAACATTAAGAAATTATAACATTTATCTCTTTATTAGAACAATCATCTTAATTTCAAATATTCAAAATCAAGATTTCATGACCCACATAAATCAATTGTGGGAGACCTTAATCTCAGGCTGGTGCTATTGAATACCAGTCCTATCCATAAAGACCATCTTGGTCATTGATTTAATTGTACACAAAAATATAGAGATGGTGTTTATCACTGAAACCTGGGTATGTTAGAAATATGGGCATGATTAAGATATACCTATCTGGATTTCATGGGATGAACCATGAACCCCAAAGAAATGGAGATCAAGTGGGATTGTGTATAGGCAGGTCTGGATAATAACTGGAGCCCTGTCCTGTAGGCATTGGTTTCAGCTCCTATATATGCAGTGGGGTAAGGGAGAAGCTGGGAATGTTTCTCTTGTACCATCTTTCAACTGTACAGTTGCATCTCTATTCACATAGCATCCCTGCCACATAGCATCCCTGCTTTTGTATACATATAAATTTATATGCTTAGCAGGAGAAAGAGAGGGTGTTATTTCTGATTCCTGCACTAAAGAAACTTTTCAAGATAGGAAATAATAATGTGCTGCATTGATCAAAATTCATTAAAATGCTTTCAAATCTTCAACAGCTGAATCACCAATCTAAGTGAAACCGTTTTTGGAATGGAATATGGTTTTTATGGAGTGTCCTATTAATTACTATAGGATATAGTTTAAGCAATTGCAAATAAACAGGTTTTTTTCCTGGATAACCTGGTCCCAAGCCATGTAGCTCATGGAAGGTGACAATCAGCACCTTGAATTGTACCTGGAATCAGATTGGCAGCTAATGCAACTCCTGCAGGAGAGATGTCATTTGCAAATATTTGCTCAAAACCATGTGAGCTGCTGCATTTTGAACCAATTTGAGCTTCCTGGTACTTTTCAAGGGCAGCCCCATATCAATAAAAATATATATATACTTTAGTGTTGAAATGAGGAGTTCTTGGTGTTCTCTGAGCTTGCTTGTGTTTTTGCATATGTTTCATTATCCTAACTAGGTAACTTCATCAGTATTAGTGCTAGCTAATGAAACGTCTGCAAGAAAACAAGCAAGCTCAGAGAGCACCAAGCCGCCCCATATAAAGAGCATTGCAATAGTCAAGAGAGGAAGTGACTACAGCATGAGTGACATACATACATACATACATGCATGCATGCATGCATACATGCATGCATGCATACATAAATATATGCTTACATATATACATACAGATTCGCATAGACGCACACATTGTACATACATATTACACTATAGCGTTTGGAAAATTTACTGGTAACACTGGTCTACAAGGAGAAAGCCTCAGAAATAAAGGTAGCTTAATTTTACCAGAATGGGTCACTAATAAAAGAAAATTAAGTCCTGAGTATTAATTGGCTCCAGTTTCCAAGATACATATTCCGGTCAAAATAATTCAAAATTACAAGGGGTGTATGTGATTATGCTCCATAACTTTTCTGCAAAATGTGATATAGCAGTGAGAATGGTGCCACACCAATTGTTATAAAATTATCTTTTTATTGATACCAATAGCATAACTTTCCATTCATTTCTTGGTTTTTCATGTAACATTTTCATGCTTTTTGCATGAAAAACTGACAAGCTCTAGCATCAGATTAAACAGTAGGTTTCATCTTTATTCGGCATCTAAACTGCGCTTTTTGACTTTTCACTTGTGAACTGTAGTAGATTCATCCCTGGGGAGACTCCAGCAGTAATTGGCAAACATGGACAGACTCCATTCCCCTTGCTATCTTTTCTCCATGCCTGCAATAACCTGGTGAAATCTCTACTCATGCTCATCACTCACTGCCCCACAGTTCAAAGGGGAATAGTCTAAAAGCAAGTGTAAAAAGTGAATTTTCAATGACATGTTTGCACCAAGTGATTTATAGGACCTAAGCAAATTTTCCACATGTTTTTCATAGTCATCTGCCTTGCTGTTCTCAAAGTGAAGATAAATTCATATACTTCCATGTGGTACCATTTTCATTGTCGCACTTTGTCGAGAGGTTGCGAGGCATCATGATCATTAGACACCTGTCTGTGTCTGTGTATACATCTTTATTGCGCAATATCTGGAAAACCACCACCATTATCACCTATTTTCTAATTCATCTAATCAAAATATGTAAAATTAACACATTTTATCTCAAAGGTTAATAATTTCCAAAAATTTGTAGACCAGTGTAATAAAGAATGATAGAAGCTTCAAAGTTTCTTTAGGGTTATATACAGTAGCATGCATTGAATGGAATTCCAATTTCCTTAGTTTATGTCATGTTACAGAATCAATCTTAACCCAATCATTTTTATCAGAAATTGGACATTTCAAAGCCAAGTAGTGGCTGCTGAACTATTGGATGTGCAAGCAAGTAATATGGCAGCGGTGGTGAGTTCCTACCGGTTCGGCCAACCTGGTAGTGGTTTGGCGGCCTAGGTCGCTGGAACCAGCAGTGACCCAGGCCTGCCATGTCCCTGAACCAGTTCTCCCGCCGGCGCTGTAGGCACCGCCATCTTGTTTTTTTGCTTTTGCACATGTGCAGAAGCATTTTTGTTGCATTGCACATATGCACGCAGCATGAATTAAGTGCATGCACACGCGCAAAGCGCACACAACTGAACCGGCAGTAGTGACTGCCAGAACCCACCCCTGTAGGGCAGGGCTTTGCTCCTTCTACTAGGGAAATGCGACTGTAGTCTAAAGTACTTGCAGTTACACAGACCAGATATGGTTGCCTTTCTTCTCAACTGTTATGTTGTTTTGAAGGTGGGAAAGCACCCCGTGGACTGCCTGCTCTTCTTCCTGCGGAGGAGGCATTCAAAGCCGCACGGTCTCTTGTGTGGAAGAAGACATCCAGGGATTGGTCAGCTCTGTGGAGGAGTGGAAGTGCATGTACACTCCCAGGATGCCCATTGTTCAGCCTTGCAATATTTTTGATTGTCCTAAGTGGCTGGCTCAGGAATGGTCTCCGGTAATTACGTTCTTTTCATTATTGAACTTTATATTTACAGTAACTGAAATAAAGTAATTAAAATGTCTGCATTATGAAAATACTTACAATCCTTTCCGCATTGGTATCCATATATAAGTACAGCAATGGGGAAAAAAAGATCTAGTTTAATTAAAGGCTATGCAGGGGAAGTTTGTAGACACGGTCAAACCTTTTAATAATTTAAATATGAAACTGATTCTTTGTAGAAGGGATACTGAGGCAAAACACCATGCAGAAAGTTGTTATGCTACTTTTAGGGGGGAAATGAAGATATAATGGAGAGCAGAGATACAGTATAGAACACGAGACCTGAATGTTGATAGTGAAAAAGATGTGGGTAGTGTTAGGTAAGCTCCCCATTGGAAGAGCGAGTACGTTCAGCGAAGCATTGTGAGAGTTGTGTTGGAGAACACACAAACCAGTATACAGAGACCAGGGACGTGCAGTCACTAGAGGCAGGGGAGAAGGGGCCTCACCAGTCTCCTGAGGAAAGAATTTTAAAGAATTTTTAAAAAATAATTAAAGCCAGGGTAGTTGCTACCAGATTCCAAGTCACAGTGGCTTGGTGTCTGCTCAGTGTTACCTATAGGAGGAGGCCAGAGAACTCGGGTCCTCCTTTGCATAAGGAATTTTTCGCCTTTTAAAAGTTAAGAAAGGGTTAAAAAGCAAAAAAAAATCATATACAAAGGAGGCACTGATTCTCCCACTTCCTGATCTGGGAGCAGCGAATCATGCCTGTGCAAGAGCACTTGAGACTG